TATTTTATCATGTATGACAGACATCAGAAATCTCAACCGGATAATTGAGGTCATTGCAATAGGAGCTAATCACGAGCCAGTGAAATCACTTCATTCGGTCTTAACCAAACCAAAAGATGAAATGAGAAAAGACAATAAACTAAACACTATCTGCAAGTAAACTGCTCAGTTTGCGAGAAAAATTATATCGGATAATGTGGTCGCTCTCATTATGTTCGTCCATATGAAGACCAGTTGGTTATCAAACACCATAACACATCTTCGTTTATACCAATGGATGTAAACAACCGTAGATACACCTCTGACTGGAAGGACCTTGGTGTCTTGAACAGCAATGACACAAATAATATTACTTGACTTCTAGAAACTTGGTACTCAAGTCATTCGGAAGTTAATAAACTCACTGAAATCGGCCCAAATTATCAATTAATTCGAAAAATGATAAATAACTGTAAATCCATAAATCAGGACAAGGGAGAAAATCATCAAAATGAGTGTGAGAAATGATAGAAAGGGTATTAACAATCACTAAACAAGCTTAAGGTTAACGAAAAAAGCTACTAGCCACTTGTATAGAAATCATCGTAAGCTCGTCTTATCTGAAGTTTGGATGAATTTCAAAAAATATTATTAAAGTTACAGCTATTTTTATACATGGATTAGATTGAATGTACTTGCATATAGATAAAGTAATTCGACTCTAATTTTATTTGTCTACTTTCACAATTGGTATATATATCCCTCCAAGTATGACAATTCATTTCAGTTTGCATGGTTGAGAAGAGATAAAGAAAATGTGTACATATTTCTTCCCGCTTATTTCATAACCAACTGACAAAAATACAGTAATGATCTTGGTGATTTTAACTCAGTCGCATATTTATAAATAAAAGGGCGAAAAGTACTTCTGTTATTACAAAATATATTTGAGAATGCTTTATCTTGTCAAGCATATGACAATGGTGTACGGTGGCGCAACTTCATGGATTGGTTGATATTAGAAATTAACACCGTTGGATTCCGGCCGGCTCAATGGTCTAGTTGGTCTCGCGCCTGGCGCGAGACTGGAAGGCCCTGGGTTCGATTCTCTCTAGGAGCGGGTTCGTGGATGCGCACCGCTGAGGAGTCCCACACTAGGGCGAGACGGCCGTCCACTGCTCTCAGGTTTTCCATGGTGGTCTAGCTTCAATTGATTCATGATCTCAACCAGTGAAATTCCTTATATCATGGAAAATAATAACAACTAACCAGGTTACGGAAGCCGACTATCATAATTCGTTTCAATATTAACCATCTTTCTCGCCTAAAATACACACTGTTATGTTTGTTTGCATTAGCTCCATTCATTATCTGCTCATTAAATTCATTTTTGTGCATTGCTTTATACTACTTTTTAATATCCAGTAGCCAGTTTCATTTCTGATAATTTCAGAGCGCGTGGCAACAGTTATTGTCATTGTTGTGTAACTTTCTTAAGTACTTACGTCTACTGGTATAATCAAGTACACCATTCTACTTTATAGTTTTTTTTTCTGTATAACAAGAACAATATTTACTTTTTAAACGTACTCTTTTTCCGTGTACATTTCACTACTATACCGAAGGTATTTAAAATTTACATTCATTCCTGAAGTAATTGATGAATATAAATTGTTTAAGACAAGAATATTTCCCACAAAAATATCCTTAATTATACAGAACGGTTAAATAGCTTCAGACAACTAGTCAGCTTGGATGATGGAATCTCATTTAACCCGTCTAAATGTAAAATTGTTAACTCTAGCCTGAGACATGAATAGCACTTACACACCCTGTTAGAATCCCATAATGCTTGTACGATTGCAGATTCTTTGATAAACACAGTGTTAGAAGTCATTTACTTTGGTGTAAGTCTTTCTTCTGATCTCTCTTGGTCTTTTCAGGTTTTATTGTTATCGAAAAAAGTTTTCAATCTCATTTACTACATAAAGGAGATACATGCTATTGTGATTACTCAACATTTACTCTTATAATTTGTCGATTCTTGCGTATTACCCATTATTCTTTACTGTTCTCTATTATTTTTTCTCGGGCTTTTGAGAAAAGACTTTGCTGTATTGCGGAGTGCTGAGGGTAGTTAGCATGGTGTGTGGTGAATCTTTTGGGGTCATTAGTAATTTGGTTATGGACAGATATATAAAGTCTTGCAAACTCCTGGTAGGTATTATATTATCAGACAATAACCATCCCCTTTATTCATATCTTCGGGTAGAACGATAGGCCAATACATCGGAATCCATGCACGCAAGCATAGGTATCTAGTATATGTACTATATGACAAACAGGCTGTTAGTCAATAGCATGAATTCTTTAACATGCTTCTAAATAAAAAGGTTGTAAAGAGCCGAAAATTCTTTAATTCCAGGCAGTTTATCTACTTAAATTATGTATATATCTATGCAGTTATCACTTTTTTGTACTGGAAACTTGTTGAAATGCCTTGTGCTAATAATTATTTATTGTACCAAAAATATAATGTTGATTAAAACCATTATTAATAATAATTATATAAATTTTCCTGTATGTGGTATTTTCATTATTTTGAGACGAGATAGATTAGATAAACTCCGTGAACAGTTGGAAACTTATCAATGAAATCCTGTTCACTGACCTCAAATAAACATCTCTCAATTGTTTTTTGAAAGGAGTCATGATACAGACTAGTATTTTCCGGAGATCGACACATTCCTAAAGATATCTACATTATCTTCATTGGGTAACTACCTCACACCCGCACGGTTGAACCCCACTGGTTACAGCTTCTTACTAGAACTCCGAGAATTGCCTCTCGAAGCTAGTCACTAGTAATTGCTTGATAACTTTCAGTTTGGGGTTGTGAATGTAGTTGAATTTCACTGAAGTCATGAATCGATATCTACATTACATGTCAGCTAGCATTACTATAAACGGTTATAGTATCTAAGATTTCGGTAAACGACAATAATCATTATGTAAAGAGGTTAGGATAAACCTTATGATCGCTAGATTCAGTACAACTGATTATTCTACAACGATCGTATTAATCTTTTCGTACAGCAAAAATGAATCAGTGGGAATCAGAAATCAAAGTAAACATGATATGAAGTCTTATTTTAGGACTAGTTATACTCTCGAATCCGTTTTAGTGCAAGTAAAATATGGAATAGCTGTACAAGAACACAAATCGCTTTAGAAATTAGACACAGAGATAACATTGCTGTACTCAGGTATTTAGTACACAAACAGAATTACAGTGAGTTCCATACTTAGGCCATCCAGATCAGAGAACGGAACTCCAACAAAGACTAATACATGGTTCCCCAAGTCAAACAGGTGAGGTTTGGGAACAGAAGTCTCAATGAATGGAAGCCAAGTGAGCAAAGCAATTCAGCCTAAACTCGTGACCTGGATTTCAGTCAAGTGATTTGTTTTCTGACTCAATAAAAAACAAGTCGAGAAAGAATGAGAAATCCAGGATCAATCGCGAACCTTTCATTGTCCCTATGAGAAATATCATCACGATATACTTCAAACAGATGATCTGTTAATAGGACTCATCCTTAATTGGTACGCAGACTGCATTCTGTTGGCTTATAAGAGATAGCGACATAATATCTCACCCTAGCTTCATCCTATTTTGATGAAGTATTCTCATCCAACACGATCATTTGGGATCCGGTCGATGAATTATTGATTAACAAATAGAAAATACTGTCCATAACTTTCGCCTCTATTTACTACTGTAAATACAATGAATAATGTACTTCTGTTTAGTTTAAACTTTTCAACAAATTCTTTCCAGATTATACAATTATATGTCCCAATTAATAAACCGAAAAGTGGCCAGGTTTTAGGTAAAGTCATTCGTCTAAAGTTATAGCATGTGGAATTGTTAAACAAACTAAAGTTGTCAATGTTGAGATAACACATGTATAATCAACAGTATAGCATACAACCCGATCATTTTCAGCTAATAAGTTCAATTACCTTAAATGTACTTTTAGTTTTATGACGAGTAGAACGATTAAATTGACTCTAGTTATTTACTCATTGAAATATTATAACAATAACATATACCACACACATTTCATCACGTGACGTATGTTGAATAAATTTCATGTTACATGACTCATTAATATATGAACGTGTTTAGGAGAATTGTTTATGGCCTTATTTATCGTTGAGAATTTTGACCACTTCCTGGCAAAGGTCAACCGACCTTACCAGTTAGGTAGACATAAACAAAGAAAGTAGCACGAACCTACGTTAGTTTAAGTGACCAAACCAAATCAGCATAAGGAAAAATTAAGAATATCAAAATAGTAGGAAAGATTAAATATAGAAAACATGATTCGGGAAGAGACAAACAATTCCGTAAATAAAACAATTAAAAGACTCAGGATCTTAGGGAAGACAAGGAATGCATTTGAGCTACGTCACTCAATATATATACATACACAGATCCCTATTAGATACTCTGCTCTTACTAAAATACTTATGATCAATAGTTAATGACTTGATGTCAAGTGCTGGTTCGAGCGTTCCTAACACTCTTCGTGGTAAGCGGTCGTTAGAGATATGTAATATGCATCACAAAAACCTCATTCAAAGATCAGAAGCCTCATGAACCGGTTTATCAACTTAACCTTGTACCTAATGCCTAATCTCACTACTATTCGCTCAGTTGTCGCGATTTACGCGGGAAATGCTTTGAAGACACATGATCAAATACGGGTAACCTACGAGATTCCTGCGAGGAATGTTAATTAGTCGCTGTTAATGACTGAAATGTTTTTTTAAAAATATAATCATTTCTTTATGTCCTCCATACATTTGGTTCGCAACTATTTCAAAACTTTTCCTCTGAAAAATGGACGATAATTCTCATGTCCTAATAATTTATTGCAAAAGTATAAACAATATTTTCTGTTTAAACGCAATGTCCATTATATGTGTTTACATAAAATATCATATTTATATAATCAGTAGTATATGCAACGTGTCCTATGCATTGGAATTTTGGCATCAATTTCATCAGCATGAGAACGTCGATAATTCCAAAGAAAATTGTCCACCACAATTGAATTGCAACTAATATTTTTACTATTTAGGGACTTGACGATATTCTGAAAGAAAAAAAACAGATACAATATTAACTGTGAAGTATTCTTCGCAATAATTCTCACTTTCCAGCGATTCCATGGATTTTCTACTGTGTAGTCAGGATAAACGTATGAGAAATTTATCAAACAGGTTTAGTGAAAATAAATAAACATGTTATCAACATAGTTTATCCGATTTTTTCGAACATTCTGGAATACACCCTACTTTACAATAGATATGTACCATGGAAAAACAATTAGCAACTGAATCTTTTCTGTTAAATTGAATGTCTAAAATACAACTTGACAGAAAACTATTAAGGAATTGCCTCTTTTAAAGTCCAAGTGTTAACAGGGTATTACTAATTTACCAAATACATTTTTATCAACTTGATTTTTACACTCATTGGAAGACCAACGATTTATGGAATTCAACATCTAATTTAAAAGGCGCCTAACTGACCAAATACAGCTTTTTTAGTCAATGTCAAGCGTGAGAACAGGTTTAGTTAAAACAAGATCTTTCTTTGTTACACTTTCTTATCTGACTATAATGGAAACAAATAAAAGATCATGCAGTAACATGAAACGACAATTATCCCGTTAAATAGTAGGTATATAAATTGCGGCCATGAATTGGTGCAAATAAAATACCATACATACTATCCCAACTTTGCAAATTACCGGTCTTATATTATAACGAACCAATAAATTGAAAACTGTTTATTAAGTGTACTGAGATACCAAATGATCACAGAAATATTATATAAATACTAATTCAAAAACTATCTTGAAGTAGGATAATTGATGACTGATTTGCCGCTTATATCACGTATGTGTCCATAAATGCAGTGTGATGTAAATGTGACTAGACATTCGACGTACAAATTGAACTAGACTGAATATAAGTGAATACCGGTAACTAGTAATTCAGTTTCAACATAGAATATCACCCCTATATCTAAACAGCGCATGATTTTATTTTATAGTTACTTCTACAAGATTAACAAGTTAAGAATATGAAAACATCTCCCTAAAACATTCAAATAGCAATTCTAATTTGATAAAATCGATAGTTACCTTATGATGATTTTAGAATTTTACCTTAGTATTACATAGATTGTTTAGCGAAAAATTCGGGAATCGCTTACATGTACAGCTAATATTGTCGCTGCTCGAATTTCAACTTCTAATTCGCTTCCATTTGCAATTTCTTCACCTAAATGAAGAATAAATAAGTAGCTCAAACAAATGTTTACTGTTTTTTAAGATATTTTAAAATATAAGTTGAACATTGTACAATTGAGAGGAAATTAAGATCCAATCCCTCACAGTTGAAGTTCGAGGACATCGATGTGACAAAAACAGCACGCAGAATGCGTTATCAAATTTTAGTTTAGTTGATGCCAAAAGCTATGAGATTTTAATGAGGGCTGATACTAGTCACCAACATTTACTGCTTGGTTTCGTTTGATGACATGATTTTCCACTTCAATTTCATTGAATCCATAGAAATCATGTATGAACACACTGACATTTGTTTACCAAAGAATGACTTCAAACATCTCTTACTAATATGTACAAAAGATGTACAATTCCTACTCAACAGCCCATCATAACGTCAAGTCGATTCAGTCGCTATGGGGAGTCTATTAGGCTCAATCGTGGAAGATAAATTAATGGCCGACTTGGAACGGAAAAGCAAAGCGATAATTAACAAGGAAGCTCTGTATGTCATGCATGTCAATAATACATTCGTTCACCCCAATCATCACAAACGTGCTGAATTTTTTTAACCATGTACATTCAAATATACGATTTACAATGAGGCATGAGCAGGTTAATAAGTTACATTTTCTTAACCTTGATATTCAACCTAGTGAAAATGGTTGAATTCAAAGACTTACTCATCTAAAGGACACGTTGAATGGACTTTATTTGGATTTTAATATTTCCGGTCCAATAATTTAAGAACGTTTTTGTTCGTGACAATAAAAAAACCACTGTAATTGCTTGGTTACCGTTGTCTCAGTAATTTAATTAGTGAACTGCTTTACAATCAAACACACTGGTCTCATAAATCAAGTATGCAACGTAGTGTCTAAGAACTAATACTAGGTATTAAGTCTAAATGCAATAAATTTAAAGCAGATAGAGATATAAAAAATTATTATGAACACGATCCACAGCGATATAAAAAAGCAATACCATTGTGTATCCTTTTTGTTAAATCCTCACTGTATTCTATAGCACCAAAATAATATAACACCTGTGGAACTCTAAATTTTATTTTGTACGTAGGGAAAGCTGGTACCTGTAGTCAGCAAATGCAGTAATTTCATCTATATCGTGGAAATACCCCAAACCTTTGCCCTCAAAACAGTACCACAAATCACCAACCAAGATCTGAGCACGTTTTAAGAATGACACTGAAAAGATAAAGGAACGAAAATAAATACCGTGTTTTCCTTTGTATATACTATAATCGCGGAAAGAAGGGAAATAATCACACAGTAACTTTAGGAGCTTTGCTGCAGAATTTTCACACGACAATAGAGCATTTTTAAATGACCCATCGAAATTCTCGAGTAAAGTTTTCCCAGCACATCTCAGAGCGTTTAATCTTTCATCAAATAATGGTATAGGCTCAGCTGTATGCGAACGAAATATGTATCTTAATTGCTCCTCTGTCACACTTTGATATACTTTAGGATTTAACAAGTCTACTCCTTCCTAAAAACGCAAACGATTAAAGTTCCTCGACTTACCTCGATAGCTCGATTAACTGCTGCACAGAGGGCCCAATAGCCCGTATAAATTTTATCGCAGTATGACACTTCAAAACTATCCTGACTCTTACTCCAAAATGAAAAATTGAGTAAAGAAGTAACAAATATCCTAGATGGCCCCAGATATCAATATTGGTAAAAATTACCATTCAACTGATCGTTCGTCAGCAACACTAGGAGTTAGTTCCTGATTGACCCAAGACTTCAGATCAAATGGGCAATACTTCTCGCATACCTTAATCACTTATCATAATACAATTTTAACTTAACCATTTCCACTAAACGTTGAATGTTCTCCACGTTAATGCTGACGTGTTCGGCATTTTGCATTACAAACAACGATGAGGAAAGAGGTGCCAAGTATTCCATGAGTTGAGTAACAGATACAGACTGATAGGCTAAAAAGAGATATTTGGAAGAATCGGTGCATTAATATCATACAAATTAATAAAAGTATGAGTTAAATAACAACACAATTCGACTAGGAAACAATGTAAAACACTTTAGTGATCACAAAAGTTTAAGCTTAATTCTTGAGTTGAATATTGACGGTAGCTTGGTACGGAAATTTATTCTTCGAAAGGATTAGTGTTTCAGAACTGCCACCACAGAATTTATTGTTAGAGATTATTTACAGATGCATGGTGCTTATGAAAATGATGTCTCATTGCTGCCAGTGACAACTATTGAGTCTAGATAGCTTAAGTAATGAAGACGAGTGTGACGAAATAACTTTAAGTAAATGAACGAATCAAGTACAGTTACAATCATCACTAGATAAAGTGAGTATGAAGGGATAAACTCCTAGATTACGACAAACGGTTTGTAAACAATGGGGAGCATAAGTCTTTACATGTAAATGTGGGCGAGACTGTAATTTATAGATGATCCAACCAGGTTTAGCATGAGAGGTCTCACATTTTTCCGCGAAATCCATCCACCCATTTGACTAAATAAAGGTTTGGCATTTAAGCTGATGTCAGTTTGTGATTAAAACCATAAATCTAATGACTAAGCCCAACTACCAGTTGTAAATCAGAATCCCTATCATTCACACTGCTTCATGACCCTCACTTAGCCCTAAAAAGTAGGTAAACACTCACAAGGTTACTTTAGCGTCGCACAAAGGTCGTCCAAAAATTAGTCTCCTCTATACTACTACCTAGACTTCCAACTTTGATAAAATTTTGATTAACATTTTAAGAACATTTTGGGAATATGTATATGCAGAGCTGAAAATTCATACAGGTCTGCGATTTTTGTTCACATTTTCTCAGATCTCAGAGCTTAAGTCCCGAGATCTTAATAACTAATAAGACGATATATACTTTCAGGTTGTGGAAGGCATCTAGAAATATATAGCATGTTAAAACAGTACGGTAAACTCTAAGCTCTTGGCCCAGGCACGAGCACATCGAATTAAGATCTAAGTATCTATAGATTTTGTAATTCGGCTTAAAAAACGATGAAAAGTGAGACAATATAAATTTTAATGCATTATTATTTCAGTCATGAATTACAATTTAAGCCGTGGAAGTTTTATGTTCTATATGACGCGGAGAATACATGACGGGTGTGAGTGGTATGAACTGGTATAATATCATGCGTCCATTACGTGTTAGAGTACCTAATTCAATGACGAAACTGATGCAGTTCACGAACAGAGCACCATACGGAATACTGAGTAAACGAAAGGAGAAATAAATCAAACATCTCGTCAAGATGAAACTTTATTAACCGCGAAAATTATGTATATGGACGAGAAAAAGATTTTTACGCCACGTTTATTGACAATAGTAATATGTACATTAATTCCGCGCGTTAACGCGGACACAATTATATCCTTCGTTAGTTTTTGACGAAGACTCCAACTATCCAGAAATATATTTTGCATTTTAATCTAAAAATCTATCGACAGTAATATTTTTGTTTGAAGTCATTTTTTAACTGTTCAATTTGCTGTGAGAAGTCTGAATCAGAGCAACAAGAACGTCAAGATTAACACTAAAGAGGGAAAAAACAGCCGATTAAGATATCTGAAACGATCTGCGTGATTTCTAGACATAAGTATACTGCCAAATAATGACAATACTAAAACATTTGACGACCCACATCTATAACCAACTTCGAGAACTCCTTGCAATAAGCGAACCCGCCGTGACTTTTTCGCTGTTCAAGGTCGTTGAAACGAATGTTATTAATAGTAAAACGAACCTCAATTCTATTACATTTTCTATCGAAGATTTCTTTCCCTTATCATCTAAACCATGTTATAAAAATTTTCAAAAGTGATTAAATGGATAAAAGCTTTTTTTATGTTCATCGTTAGACGTTCGCCATAAAATTTGTCTCCTTTATTCTGAAAGTATGCAAGTGAAACTTTTAAAGCTTCATCAGCTCGATACTATAGGACAATGAGTTCTGGAGGAGGTCGGATAATGCTTCCTCGTTTCCTCTCCTTGTCTCTTTCTGCCAAAGACATCAAGCACACAAATTACTTAGCAACGTTGTTGTTCAAGACGCCTTCATAAACGGACGATCACCGACCCAGTCAAACCAGGAGTTATAAGTAAAAGAAATCAATCATATGTATCTGAAAGGTACCTCGCACGTAGTTTCATTAGTTACACTATAGCTGAAGGCACCCGGCTCATTCTTTTCTTCAGATCATCGTTGTTTGATCTGTGCTACGCAGCCCTCAAGACAAACCGCCAAGCTTCCATACAGCACCTCACGACATATCAGTCACAATTTGAAAAGAATAAGGGTTAAGGTGTCGTGTGTTAGCCTTAGCAATGGTGTCTTCATAGTCTATCTGACTTTTTGAAAGCGTCTACAGATAAAAATTCATTACATGTTGATGTAATGAATTCGATGGGAAAGCCGACAGTCAACTGACATGTGATTTACTCTGCACTTGTGAGCAATTTTATTTTGTTCTTTTAGGCGTACCAGAAACAAATTTATCATTAGGTATTTTAAAACTGTGATCTAGTCAATTATGGTTCTTCTATATGATGTAGACCACCAACGTAGATGGTCTATGTCGAATGACTGGAAGTCTAATCGAGTTAGATGGGAATGGTGTGACTACACAACTAACTTCGAAGTCACACCTCGCGGTCAGCATCTAATGTGGATTACCCCTTCGACGTATCAAAGTACTATAGCTGCTTTGAAAACCGTACAACACAAGGGACGTTATTAAGAAATTATATTAATAATAATGAGTGCAAAGAAGATAGCGTGTCCATCACCGCGTGTGCCAGTCCATGACATACGATTAACTGATACGCGTTGTTTGTCCATGGCATTAACAGGGACACACAATCTATTCGATATTCAGTGACTCAACTGCCGGATGACTTGGCTAGGGCTCAGTGATATTTCACTGGCCCTACAAATGCATGAAACTGAGAAAAACGTCGGTTTGGATTAAGCATAATTTTCGGATTATGGTAAATATTAACATGAAGACTGATCAAAAATCATTGTCTGTATGGATTTTTAATTTTCATAGTTGTAAAGAGAATTCTTTTGTCCCGTGAGATTATAAAATTTATCAGTATTTTGTTTACTTGTAGCGAACTGTATCTCACACATTAGAGCACTATTATCTTGAGTTTGTATTCCCCTCCTATTTCTAGATATTAAATTTGAACCAAATGGGTTACATCAACGCGAAGGTCTTATATCACCAAAAATGTTGACGAATGTTATCAGAATTATGTGATCTATTTGGGTAATACATTTCGAACAATCTGATCACACATAATATACTTGTTAAGACATTTTATATGAGAAATAAAAGGTCAACTAGACAAGTGAGGAGATAAAGGGAGACAAAGGTGATGAAAGAGTACACAATAGCAACGTGAAACCACGCTGTATAATCAATCAGTATTATCAGTGTAGGATTATTTGGGCCAGTCCAGTATCACTCGGAAGCTTTGTTATTCCGGGACTCAACTCAATTGCTGTATTTTGAACTTTTACTTGCAACGCACTGTCACTTTTTTGATAGGGGCTGACTATTTGATGTCGCACTCGCGTTCAGAACGAACAAATACTGAAACCATTGGCGGCTATCGTAAAGCAGTTTGCACTAGCTTTGAAGTCTTGGTTAACAATGGCTCCTAAGTGGTTGTGTGTCTGAACACACTTATTCACCGTATGTGCATATTTACCTTGGTTATCAGTTTGCAACGTTATGCACTTCAAAGCAATTATCCTCAACTGCCTAGTTTTGAAAAATGCGGATGATTTCACCCGATCATTTTGAAGCTCTTAACTATCACATCTAATTTTATCGCTCTTCATTTCTTGACATCGTCAGAAGATTAAAAAATCCGTGATGATAGGAGCCTAGCAACGTCTTTTACACATAGCAGGAACAGCGCTGGTCTCAAGACTGTACTATGAGGCATTCCGCTAGACACGGTTTCCTGGCTAGACAACTTCGTGTTCACCCCTACTCTTTGATGACGCCCAACTAGAAAGCTTCTTATCCACATACACAGAATGCTTTAAGTCCCGATTTTACCTGACTTATATGACAGCTGGTTCTGAATAACTTGTCAGCAGATTTGCCGAAGTCAACGTAGGCTAGACCCATAGGTAAAATTTGATATTTAATAGCGCAACAACTTTTACGGGGCTACTACTTAGTTAATGATACATGAAAGTCATGTTCTAAAGCCATGCTGCTTTTCAAGGAAATCCGTTTTTCATCGAGATACTTAAATAACGCCTTTCAAATAATCTTTTCCAAAATATTTACAACCGCGCTGATTATACTTACGTGAAGCTTTTACCGTAATTCTGTATCTCATTGAACAGAAGTTTATCATTTGATTTTTACAGTTGGTGTATCATCACGTTTGTTTGTTGCCATACAAATTACCTAAAACTTCCAACCAACCTTACGAAGACCGTAGAACTGAGCGGCAAACGAGAAAAGCACATTACTTCCTACACAATATGATTGAGCAGTTCTAGGTAATAAACAGTACGACTTACACGAAATCCAAAACCGAGTAAGGCTAAATTGTAAAAATGTTAATGAAAAATGTATAGTGAACTACAAAACCAGTTACTTGTCAGACAATAACGATGTTTCTGGAAAGCGAAACTCATGGTTCCATTTTACGCGATAGATCAGTTTAATCCACTGAAAGATGGATGATCAAAACTGTAATACAAGCAGTAAACAAAGTGTTAATTGTCGTCAAGACTAACTACTTGTTAAAATAATGAGTGTTTTTAACAAACGGGAAGTGTACTTCAATCCAGGAAGCAAAAAATTCAAATCAATCAATCCAAGCAAGTTCAATCAAAGATTGACAAATCAGTTGGGCGTGCACCACTCTAAAAGGTGAGGTAAAACAAAATTCCCGCTAAAGGTGCCGCAGGTATTCGGAGTTTTACAACGCCTTTACAAGTAACACCTTTATGATTGAAGGATACCAACCCAGTCAGGTCAAAAGTCGGAAATGAAGGAAGTTCAAAGATGTATTTGGAAAGCTATCTATGCGTTGAGGAGTGTTTGGTCTTAGCTGATTAGTAGTTGCAAAAAATGAATAGGACGGGGTAAACACTCGTGGTTTGGTACAGGTGCATGATCGAGCGCCTTCAGCTAATTGTGTCCAGTAATACTAATGAGGTAAGCATCAAATGTCATAGACTTACAGAACTATATATTTTAGTGACTTATTTACCGCTACACTACCAACCGGGGAATACTAAGATGGGATTAATACGATGGGATAAACATGACTGCAAGCAAATGTCAATATTAAGCTTGTCTTAGGTCAAATACTGAATACTATGAATGAGACAGGAAACTTAATAACGAGGACCAAGAAATTTCCAAAATAATCCAACTAATGGATACTGTCAACATTCAGATAGTAATATATAATGCACAAGGAAAACACTCATAAATGTGCTGAAATCTCTACTTCAAAAAATCCATCTTAATGTGTTGAGATATATGCTAGAATTATGGAATTAATAGTTGAATTCATGATTCAATTAAATCTAGATCACCATGGTAAACCTGGAAGCACTGGACGGCCGTTTCGTCCCATTATGGGACTCTTCAGCAGTGCGCACCAACAATCCTGACTCGCGAGATTCGAACCTAGGGCCTATCAGTCTTGCTCACGAGCGCTTAAACACCAGACCACTGAGCTTGCATCCAGCTGTGTTAATGCCCAACTTCAATCCACGAAGTTAGAAGCATAAAATATTAGTTACACCATAACCATCAATGACATAATGTTGCCTGGTATGGGAAAAATTTACGTGTTCTGCTAGATTGTTCCATCAGAACGGTTAATATTGCGTATAAGTTAAAAGCCGTTTATGTGTTTATGTTGCCGGTTATTCTCAGTTATTCTATGCTGATCCCTTTCATGCTTTCTTTCACTGTAATTGGAGTACCAACAGTAGAAATATTACGTTTTAAATGTTGTGGTTGTAGCCAAGCCATATCAGAAGTTCAGAGTAGTAAATTCACGAAACAAAAATACGCTTATCCTATAACATTGAATTGTTATTATGTAAATGCCGGTTGTCTTGGGTTAAGAAGATGATCAAGAAAAAAGCTATTTTATGTATCGTATCGACTTACTATGTACTAGTTTTATAGCTGTGAGTTGTGCTGTAGCTTTCACTTCATCTTTTTTTACATGAATATCAGTTACTTATTGAATACCGTAGGATACATTCGATCATGCTGGGATTCGTAGACAACTATAGATAAGAACTGAAATATTAGTCACTCAAAAAGAACAAAAGCTTCAAAATGTGCATAACCAAGTCATTTGGTTAATGGACACATTCACGTAAAGTAAATCTATCAGCCAATAAGAAAAGTAATAAGCAAATACAAGATTAGTGTTCATGTCGTAAGAGAAATAGTAATCAAAAAACTTTGTAAACAATGCCAATACAACTAGCGAGGCCAAAAAAACATGAAATTTAATTTTGATTAAACAGTGTTGATCACCATAGAAAAAAAAATGCAACACATCAATTACTTTAAAAGTTTTGGCTGATGTTTTTTGACAGTAAACTAAAGCTTCTTCAATCAATCCTTCAGCTCAAATGGCGCTACACTTTCAAAAATACGTGTATGTGTTGTTTATTTTACTATCTGTCTGACTTTCTTAAAACACTGTTTTGCTTATTAGACGCTTGATGGATTACTTTATTAACTAAATTGTGACAATATACATATTGATTACGGATGATTATGAATTAATTTTATACTCAAACATGGCTTCCCTTAAACTTGATTACAATTATCTATGTAAACAAATGTGTAAAAATATTGAGTTAAAGACCTGAACTCTTTCTATATTTGCTATCATATCAAATATTCTGTTCATAATTAGCAGAATAAAAATTAAGTAAAAAGCATAAATTTCTATGAAACCTGTATTTATTTCGGTGGGAAAAAAAATTTTAGTGACAGAGAAAAACAAAAACTGTTTAATATGGTTAGTTGAACGTTAAAATGTGCATTTCCATCAGTCGCTTTAATAGTGAAAATAAAATTTCAAAATAATCATTTTTATTTTTTAAAAAAATTTGTTTAGCTTGGTACCTATCTTTCTAATCTTTAGTAATTTTCAATGTTGGTAACTAAAAAATAATAAAATATGATACTTTTTGCTTAAAATTAGATTTGTACTCTGAATAAAAAAAAAGCTATGATAAATAGATAAGAAAGAATATAGAGAAATAAGAAAGGCAAGTATTTAAACATTACTTAAATGCAATTCTCTTCGAAATGTAAACAACAATAGAAGGAAGAATAAATTGCACAGTAAATTCAACAAAGTAATGAAATACTGAAAATATTGGATCTTTGCATAAAAAAAAACCAAAACCAAAAACAAACACGAAAACAAAACAATATCAAGTTAAGCAAACATGATGATAATCATTGTAACAGAATAAGTTTAGCAGATGAAGAGATTGTCATCTTGTTTTTTAGTTTAGTTGTAAATTATAGAATTTATATTTCTTATCTTTATGTAATGTTAGAACAGATCAATTCGATAGAATTAAATGTTATCTAATAAATATGGAATAATTTAATTAATTTCATATTTCACATAAAGCTTTTTTTTCTTACTGAATGGAATGAATAATTTTAATTGAAAGAGCACAGGCAACAATTCATGAAAGAACATCATACTATGTTATTTAGAAAAATAAAAATAAAAATGGAAAGAAAAATTAAATGAAGAAGAATAGAGTATATAAATTGTAAGAAAACAAAACTATTTAGAAAATAATTAAGTAGTACATTCTTTAAACGATGTAAAAATGAATAAATTAAACTATTGTTTTAAATTTGAAATAAACCCTTTATAACGAAATCGTTATTATTGTTCTAAAGAATACTAGAATTAAAAAATATAGCTAATATATATCACTTGTATGTTGTATGTATTTATCATATACATAATTGACAAATGTTAATTATTTTAATCATGTGGAATCACTTGTTGTAACTGGATTAATTTGTGGAGTAATTGTATATATTTTCCATTCAGGTAAAGTATTGATAGGCTGTGATGATGTAATGTTCAAATATGGTAGACCTAATATTGGTGTTGGTTGACAACTTGGTGTAGGAGATAAAGTTCCCATTGAAATATCATGGAATTGTGGCATTATGGGATTAGATTCAATTGAAGTGGTTTGCCATGGAATCGGTGTATAAACAGATGGTTGAAAAATAACGGAGCTTAGATATGAACTTTGTATTGACGTATCAATTACTGATGTACTTAACAACTGTTCATGTGAATATGTGTCTATCTGTTCATGTGGACATGGTATCTGGGTTGTTTTATTAGAAAACGAGCTTTCACCTGAGTGAATTTCCTTAATTAGGCCACAACTGTGAACTTTTTTATGCCTTGTACGTTCGTCAGACCGAGCGAATTTACGTCCACAAGATTCACATGTATATGGGCGTTCACCAGTATGAGAACGCGTATGTGTTCTTAGATGATCAGAACGACCAAATGAACGTGGACAGTACTTACACATAAAAGGTTTAGTTCCAGTGTGTATTCTATGATGCCGTTTAAGTTCATCTGGGCGAGCAAATCGTTTTCCGCACTGTACTTCAGGACAGCAATATCGTCGTTTTTCCAAAGATTCCCCAACAACACTTTGTCTAGTTGAACTAGAAGGTACAGTGGCGGTGGAGGGAGTAAATGATTTGTACATCAATGTTGACGGTCCTGGTTCAGTAGAAAGAGATGGAGCTGCGGTAAAATCCACCATGTAACTAGTAAACGTTTCAGTACTTAATGGTCTGGATGATTGGCTGACAGAAAAAACATCAAAATAATCTTTGGAGTATGGTGTATTATAATCTTGTTCAGAAGGGGCTGATTTTGGATGTGAAATATGGTATATATCTGGCCTTTCAAATATCGGCCCTTCGGGAACTGAATAGTGTCTTTGAAGGGGTTTTTGTGTAGGTGAAATGGTGAACTGTGTATGACTTTGTTCTTGCAAATGTGATTCTTTTTGTGTTTCTATGGGGTACATCTCTGGTTCTACAAAGGGTACGGTCAACTTTATGCCTTTGCTCTCCATAGGTGAGATGGTTTTTGAAGTGAAAGTAGTTGGATCAGTACTCGTGGATGATTCTTGTTTCAAGAATTCATACGGACAGATTGATGGATGTTCAAGTATTCTGCTTTGATAAGGGAACTTTTCTCTTTCGATATCAAATGATCTCCTTGGATGTTTCCGCGCATAGCTTCCAGATGCTGTGTTCACCGAGGTGTACGATGGTGTTAATCTAGATTCCTGTTCAATCCGACTAGTAGTGAAGTGATAAATACCAGGATCCCCATAGCTGGAAGATGATGGTGTAATACAACCTTGAGTTTTTTCATGTTCACCTATTTTAGAAATATATGGAGTTGATTTCTGAGAAGACCCTGCAAATGTTACGGTTGATTCCTCCATAGTATACGATGGTACTTGCCGTTGGCTTTGGGGAAAATATAATATATTCTTAAATTCCTGACCTGGAAAAAATTGTCACAAGAAAACTTAGTCAATTAGTAGACTAATAAATAAGAATATTATTCGTCGCTAAATTTTACATATCAACAAAAAAGATGCATGACTTCATCCCGATGAACATTACACCACTTTTAATTAAGATGACCTAATAAATTATTTTTTAGAGTTTTAAATTGTAAATCGGTAAACACAAAATACTTACTTCACTAGATGATTATGTCAATGAAGTTAAAGTTTTATCTCTTTAAAATCCAATATTTTATAAATTATTCTGTTTCATTGTTATCATGAATAATACTTAAGCATTAAACTGTAGTGTTAGATGACAAACTAGGGTGAGTCATAGATAACCCAGCTATATGTGCTCATTACTGTAGTAATTAGAGCGTTTTTACTGACTTATGAAGAAATAAAAATTCAACATAACAAAGCTTATTTAAAACGTATCTATAATTGTACAATATGTGTAATGTAATATAGACCTGTTATGATATTAATTTATAAAAAGTTGGAAACTAGTGTTTGTCAGCGTTATCGTTTTGTTGGCCTGAATAACATACTTTTTAATGGTTGAGTGAAAATATTTTCTGAATTATTTGTGAAAAAAAGACATCAGTATTGTGAAATAGTTAAGTAATAAAGCGGTTTTTTTCTGAATGATTACCACTGTAAGGTGACAGTGAAAATTTGGTTATCTTTAGAATCAGATTTACATAACTTCACCATTTTTAAAGAATGTGTCATCCCCCTCAAAAATGTATAAGTCAAACATGTGTTCTGATACACTTCACCGATAGATAGATAGATGATAGAAATTTAGAATTTGAAAGGAATAATTTAACAGATGGATGTATAAAATGTTCAATTCTAGAATAACTCTTTTCTCTAAAAGTAAACTTAAACAGGAAGGTAAAACATTCAAAAATATCATTAAATTTCCAGACTCTATTTTATAAGTAGTCTATAGCGGAACATAAATGTGTTATTCTGTCATGACTTTATTCTAACCCTATGCCATTTAATGTTTTCACTGTATCGACCAATAAAACCATTGCACCATCATGTAAATTTTACTGTTCAGTCAATAGGTTTTTTTATTTTCTTCTGGTTAGAGTCTTTTAGAGGGGTAGTTTTCTACGGGGTGGGATCGCTAACTCGATGCCCAACCCTCCTCTTTTATCCGGGCTTGGGACCGGCAGTAGCCCTAGAGAAGCTCCACGTGGCGCCACAACAGCAGTGGGTCTCAACACACGCAAATGAAAAAGTAAGATTCTCCGATACAACACACCATGCAACAATCGAATCACACTTGAACGAGAACATTTCGAAGATGTAAAAGCCTTTACATAACTGGGCAGAATCATTGATGAATACGGCGTATCTGATGCACATGTGAAGGCGCAGGTCGACAAAGCATGAACAGCACATCTACAACTAGAGAACATCTAGAACTCAAAACAACTGTCTATCAACAAACACCAACGTCAGAATTTTCAATACAAATGTCAAAACAGTTTTACTGGATGGGGCAGAAAACTGGAGAACTACGAAAGCCATCATCCACGAGATACAGATGTTTCTTAACAGTTGCCTACGCTAAATACCTTAGGTCCGTTTACCAGACACTATCAGTAACAACTTACTATGGGAGAGAACAAACCAGATTCCAGCATAGGAAAGAATCACGAAGAAGCACTGGAAGTGAATAGGACACACATTGAGGAAGGCACCCAACTGCGTCACAAGTCCTCAAGACCAAATGAAAAGAGGAAGACCAAAGAACACATCACGCCGAGAAACGGAGACAAACATGAGTAGAATGAAACGAAGGTCTAGGACAGAGTGGGTTGGAGAATGCTAGTCGGTGGCCTATGCTCCATTAGGAGTAACAGGCGTAATTATTTTATTTTATATTAAGAATATTATTACGTAACTGAATCTAATCAATCTGTCTTTTTCTTTAGTATACAGTCATCTTATTAAAATCTTATTGTTGTTGATACTCACTCATCAAATTTAAGTTTAAGACATTAAATAAATTTTTTACTCATAGCCTTGTTACTGTTTTAATTGAAATCTGTTGGCGTGTTTATTGGTATTAAATGTAGTAATCAAATAACAGTAGAAGCAACCAGTTCATTTAAACTACCTAATTCATTTATGTTTTATAAGCGTTACAGTAGAAATTTCAAAATTATTTCAATTAAGTAACTGAAATAGGTTGCATGTTAAAGAAATAAAGGATAATAATGACAGCACTCCCAATTTCCTTCTTTCTTGACACTTATATTCTACCGCTTTACTTACATCGGTCCTAAAATGTAAACTATCTGTTTATTATAATAATATAGTTCGTAATCAGTTGTTTGAATTTAATATGAGTCTTAAACATTAAATATATTCTGTTCCAATGAATATTCTGAAAAATCTTAACAAATCAAAAGTAGAAAGTACTTAAATTAATTTAAATGTTTGAGTACTTTATACAATTATCATAACAACAGAGTTCACAAGTACCCTTTTATGAAATAAAATAAGGTCACAGAATAGATTTTCTAAATTTATAATCTTTCTGTTATAATCATAAAACTTACATATGAGTAAAGTTAAATTTCTATTATTGATAAGTCAATAATATTAGCTTTTATTTCATACTATTAATATAAAGTTTACTTGTTTATTATCATATCTGTGTGATATTATCATCCCCATCTGTCATTTTGATTTATTTTACAATGAAATTACATCATAATTTAGTTAAATTATCTTAGTGAAAAATTTTTATTTTAAATCTCCTTTTTATTTGTAAATATATTTTTTTTGTTTGAATAAAATTCAGTGCTTTAATTGTTTATTCTATCAGTATGCATGTAAAATTAAAAATAAAATATTTAATTGATAAAATGAGTAAATCATCGTCTGAAAAAAAAAATTTATTGAAATATTAGAAATTTTATTAGTTTGATATTTGATCAGTGAATAGTCATAGTAACTCAGTTGGACATTTCGTCGAAAGGAGGATGTGAATAAAAATAACATGTATTAGAAGTAAATATCAGGGTAATGTAGTGTGTGTTACTGATCTCGATAGATATAAACAGTATGTATCATCAGTTGAAAGTGAAATACCTCAGGGCAAAAGGTTGAGAAGATCAAAGAGAAGAGAATGAGAACAAAGAATGGTTGGTATGAAATTGAAAGAACAATGAAGTATTTACTGTATAGTCTTCAGACTTTAAGATGTTCTGTAATTTTGTATTTGAATGTATTTGATTGTCCCCATTTGTGTTCTCGTTCACTATACTTATAGTCAATATAACTATTGCAAAATGTAACAAGCAAATGTACCAAAAGAGAATGGCAAGTCAGATTCAAGTCAATGACTTTTGAAAATAAGTAGAAGGATCTTACTTTTATTGACGTTATGGTTCTATGAAGCTCAATTAGATCCTTGGTGTGGTTTTTACGTGTTCTAAGCTGAATATACAATATATTATCATTTATATCAACGCGGACATATAAGGACTCGAGTTTGACCGGTAAATATTGAAATTCCGAATCATTAAAAATCTAAGAATAATGTTAAATTACTGGAAGCAAGATACTCAGGTCAATTGAGAATCATCTGACGCATCAATATAAATGAAATTAAACAGTTCACTAGGATAAGTATTCCAAACATACGCCTCAACGTTAATCTACTAAAATATTTATGTGGTTTGACAAGACACATGAAAACAGTGAAATCTCTTCAGGTAACTAGTCACAACATAAGTTATCTGTAAAGATTATTCTATCGCCTGCAAAATAATTTAAGGCGGCTCACTTCTATCTTCAATAGAAGCTTTGAATCTACACAAAGAATATAAAAACACTAAAAACATAAAAAATATTGAGCGTACTGAACAATATATGTTCATTCTCCGACTGATTAGATTCCCACTTTTAAAACAAAGATGAATTGAATATTATTGTAGTAGTCTAAGTTTATCCCTTTCAATGATTTTATAATGCATTCAATACGTTTAGTTTATTTACTTACAAAATCACTGCCAAAGAACGTCAATGTTGGTAAGTAAAGGTATTTATTTAAATTTTATTAACTAAATAAAAAGTTATTATTATTAAAATTGAATCTGTCCACAAACTTTGATCAAGTTTAAAACAGATACATGTTTATTAATTAATTAATTAAATGAAAATTACACTTGAATACTTAATTTATGTAAAAGCTTTCAATTGTCAACAATTGTGTACGGCTTAATTTTTCAACAACCAAAAAAAAATCAACAGTAAACGAGTTGACAAAGGCCTAAAGTCATGTGATTCACCTACGCATTTAACAAAATGAATAGTTATGTATACATACATACGATTATTTGCCCACGCAATAATAATTGTTTAATTTGAAACGTGTTGAAAATGTTGTTTTCGTTCCTATTTTATTTTGCCTCATACTCTCTTTTGCTTCAAAGTACATGTAATTTATGACTAGTCGTTGTCTATTATTAATAATTTTATGAAAACGATTATTCAATATAATTCTTTGTTACTGGGTAACATAAATAAATGTCATTTGGAATCAACTTAGAGAATGATATAAATTCATTCTACAGGAGAGTTTGAAATTTAATGTGTTATATAGAAAGAAAATTAATAACCTATATGTCTGTAGTTCATATTCACAACTTTAAAAAACCTCAAAATTACATGACACAATTGAACATTTTATTAAGCCATTGAGACAGATCACATTTCCACTTTCAATCAATTTATTATATGAAATCATTCTCCATTAATATCATCGATGATTTATTCTCCTTGTCCTGATCTATTCTATTCTACACACCGGAGTTTCTCACTCCGACTTCCGGAGATCCATTTCAAACGTAGTCACTAGTGCGTATTAATTACATGATTTTATTTTTTGTTAGTAATAA